TAGATGTAGTTCCATTAAGGACCACACGCTGAGTGCAGTTGGTCAGCCAACTGTTAAATACTGAAAGGAGTCAAGCCAGAATGTTCACTGGAAGCAAGGACCATGAAACAAAAAATATAATTTGGGTGCATCAGGAGGACTGATACATCTATGGAAAAGATGATAAGGTTTGGCAAGAGGGACAGAAGGAGAAAAAGGCTGACAGCAATGAGGTGGATACTTAGTGTACTGGAAGTCACAAAAATGCACTTGCAAGAGTTGCTTGATGCAATGAGACAGAACAGTTTGGATAGCTTTTATCCATACTACCAGTATATCAAAAGACTAGTAGACCTGTGTTCAGAAACAGCTGAAGTGATAGGATATCGTTATGGAGCATCTCTGCACCACCACCCTGTCATTTGGCAACTTGAAGGTGACTAAGGCCTCTGTCCCAGGCACTCACTCATACTTGCCCGTGCTTTTAAGAAGAGCAGCTGGTGGCATTTTTTCCTGTCAGGTGGTGGTGCTGGGTGGATGGGAAAATCCACCATTTCCTGCTTTTAAACTGTCCCACAATAATGCTCTAAGGATAGGGCCACCTGAAATCTCCTTACTGAGACAGATTAGAACTGAGCTGCCAGGGAGCACAAATGATGCTGGTATATGTTTCTTCCAGTTTAAGGATTGGAGGAATGCATATTAACCGGGTCATCAGGAAGAACCCAGAAATAGCACATTGACAATGATAACCAAAACCTTACCCAATACTGAACGTCTATCCTGAAAAGGATACTCTATGGATTGCTCTCACATAATTTTTATAATTACTAGCAAGATGGAGAAAAATAAGGGAGAGTCCAGATTAAGAAGGAAAGGGTGTAACTAAAACTGTAGCGCATATATGTGTTTTTGTTTGTGTGTGTATGTGTGTTCATTCAGTTGTGTATGTTGCAGAATCAAATCTTTCTGGATGTGTAATTTGGTCAATTGTTTTTCAAAGCAAAGACAAATATACTGCTTTTTATAAATCTCTTCACTGAATCAAGATTATATCCCCTAGAGTTCATAATGTTTTTCATTTCTGGTCTAATAGCTGGAAGTATCCTTTTTCTAACATGATCTTGTACCTACTCACCTTTTTCCAGGAACTGGAGTTTTCCTATAAGAGGCCAGAACAGCTACAATCGTTTTTGGAAATCTACATAAAAAATTGCAGGAGAATGCATCTTAGTTTAAAAAATAAAGACAACCGTGTTTGGGATGCTTGGTTGGAACAAGGTACATACTACTAATAGTGTATGTTTATGGATATGCAATAAATAATAAGAATTTTAAAAAGCATTTTATCAACTATTTATTCTTTATTAAAAGGAATATTTTTTTCATCAAGATATATACCTAGGTTTTGTTATGTTGAATTGGAAAGACAGATCTAGTGGTTGGTCCAGGTTACTGGTTTGCATTGTGGTGGTCTGGAATTTCATAGCCTTTCCCTCAATTGTTGTAGCATGCTGGTTGGAATAATACTGGCCAAAGATTTGGTGGCTGGATATCTGGATTTTTCCCCATGCCATATCAAACTGTGAACTGTATAACCTATAAAGTTCTTGGAGATGTTCATGACATGCTACATCAAACAGCCTGATTATAGGAATGTGCATGCTGCCATCTTACATCACACATGGCCGTTTAACAAAGTTGGAATTTTATCTAAGCAAATCACTGCAAAGCTGGAGGAACAAATTCATTTCTATTTAGTGCTAACCTGAAATTGGAACACAGATCAGGAAGTTCTTATTTGTTATTGACTAACATATGAAAACGTTTTAGCTAAATTATTGGGGTTGAAAAACTTCTATTAAATAAATCTATCATGGGAGAAAATTCTCAAAATTACTTCATCGGTATTGATGAACATTTAGCCATCTGACTTTCACATGCTTTCACGTGTCTTTTGTTTAAGTTAAGGTTAAGGTAAGGTAATAAATATGAACCAAAGATACTTAGACTGTATAGGCAGTCCTCACTAAAAATGCAATGTGTGACCGTCCACTTAGTGCCGGCAGTTCCAGCAGTCCCTGGTTGCCATTGTTAAGTGAATTACCACGGGTCATTAAGCGAGGACTTCATATGACCACGACTTCCAACTTCCTGCTGGCTTCCCAACTGACTTTGCTTGTGGGAAGCCAGCAGGGAAGGTTGCAAATCACCATCACATGAACATGGGATGCTACAACATTTGGAAATGCGGGCTGATTACCGAGTGTCCAAATCACAATCAGGTGACCACGGGGTTGCTGCAACGGACAGAACTTCGAAGACCAGTCATAAATTCCCCTTGTTCAGCGCTGTCATAACTTTGAACGGTTGCTGAATGAGTGGTCATTAAGCGAGGACTACCTCTAGAATTTTTAAGGAAACTGAAAATACCTGATCATCTTCATGTGGCTATTCTTTGCTACAGTTGATTAGGGAATTTATTGTAATTTATTGCTTAGCAGTTACTTTTCTTAATAGTAATTTTATTTAAAAATTACACTTACAAAAATAAAAACTAATACAAACTAAAAGAAAAAAGAAAAAGAAAAAAGAAATAGAAAGAAAAGAAATA